TAGTGATAATGAAACACCTCACATACACGAGCCAAATATGAATGATGTATTGATTCAACAATTTAAAGCACAAGTTATCACACGTGTTCGTTCTGAATTATTAACACCAGGTGTGATTCATTCAGAAGAACTAGCAAAAGCAAACATGCCACCATCTGCTATGGCAAATTTACCAACTGCTCAATCTATGCGTAAGTCTAAACTTTGATCAATAGAAAGTTTAAACATTTTTTCTAGAATCACTACTCTATTATCATCGAAAAGCTGGCAATCCACCACTACCTACTAGTATTGATTTTATTATCCCATCACAATTCACAGTCACCGTAGATAAAAAACCGTTTCTTATATGTGACTTTACAAAAAACGGAAGAAGAAAATTTATTTTGTTTTCCAGTGAAAGACAATTGAATATATTATTTAATTCTGAATTATTATTCATGGACGGAACTTTCGACGTTAGCCCCGCACAGTTTAAACAACTTTACACCTTACATGCAATTAAACAAGATCAAGGTAAAAAATTTTGATATTCCAGTAAAATTCCGGTTCTCAACTAACATTTCTGATTTTTAGTGTATGCATGTGTATTCGGATTTATGGCAAATAAAAGATCAAGTATATACAAAAGTTTGTTTCAAGAGTTAAAAGCAATAGCTGCCAAGATGAATTTACAGTTTCGTGTTAAAATGATAATGAGTGATTTTGAGAGTGGTCTCATATCTGCATCGAAAGTGGAGGTAAGTTACAATTCTTTTTTCGATCTCGTATCATTGCTATACCTGTACATTTTTGTTCCTTTCATCCTATCTAGTTTCCAGAAGTAGAACGTCGTGGCTGTATGTTTCATCATATGCAAGCGATGCATCGGCAGGTTCAACAGATCGGTTTAGCCACTGCTTACAAAGAACCAGAAATTCCTCGAGATGTTCTTCGTCAAGTCTTTTCGCTTTGTTTAATGCCTAAAGACAGAGTTGAAAGTCATTATCAACGCTTGCTCGACACCATTTCAAAGTATCGTCCGAAGTCTATTCGAACAAAATTAATCGAATTTTTTCACTACTATCACGATCAATGGTTAATGACAGTTGGTGTTGATATGTATGTTGTTGGCGACTTATGTATTAGAACAAATAATGAATGTGAAGGTGAGTAGTAAGCGACTGGTTTTGTTGATGAACTTTAAAGTCTATCTTTAGCATTTCATCATGCCTTAGCAAAAAAAGTCAATCAACATCATCCATAGGTTTGGCGCCTTATCACCTGTTTAGCACAGAAGGAATTTTCTCAATATTATCGTATGCTTGCAGCTGCTGGTGGTCTACCACAGAAAAGACGTCGAGAGAAGTCATCAATCAAAATGCAAAAGCGTATTGACATGTTGAATGAATTTTACAAAAATGGCTCAATTACGGAAGAAGAACTATTAACTGGCCTTACATTTGTCATTGCAAAAAAAAAATAATTCTATTTCTTATTTTGTTTTATATGTACTTTTGTTTTGTATTTAATCCTAATGTTATAATAGTGAAACTCATTGCGTTTTACTCTAGTCTAAACAAGATTTAACTATGTTTTTGTTAGTTTAATTTTCGTACAAGTTAAAATCAACTTAGTTTCCCTCGCAAGTGAATTTCGAATTCAAGTCAACCTGGTATTTGGTTCTCATTTCGATGAACTTAACTTCAACATAATTTAAACATGATTCTAAGTCGATTCCAAGTTGATTCCAACTTGATTCCAAGTTGATTCCAAGTTGATTTCAAGTTGATTCCAACTTGATTCCAAGCCACATTTTAGGTGATCATGATTGAATTTGAAATTCATCGAAAGAAATGCTACAATACAATAATCGACATTTTTTAATAAAATTTGTCGAATTCGACAAATTTGGATTCCAATTTTGTTGAATCGACAAATTTTATCGACAAATTTGCGATCGACATTTTTTGTATTCGACAAATTTGTAGGCACTCACTTTTAGGATTCTTGCAGATCCTCAAATTTCGGATCAGTTATTTGACTATTTGAGACTGGATGTTGTGAAGTCCGCAATCCTTTTGCTTGTGGGTGGCATCCGATTCTTCTTATTAGCTAACTAAAAATGACTGCAGGAAAAACTGAACCCGAACTTGACCTTAGAGACCGAACCCGAACCCGAACTCTGAAACCGAACCCAGACCGAACCCGAACTCGAACTCTCAGACAGAACTCGAACCCGAACGTTCAAGTTCGGTGCATGCCTACTTATATTAGTAATGTGAAACCACAACAATTAAGTTTGATGCCCCATCATGAAAATATGATTCAAAGAATTTATAGTCAAGAAAAGTAATATTTAGTACATGTTCACTTATAGATGACGCTACGAATAGAGCTGACCTCCGTAATCGATTTAATAAAGGAAACAACTTGTACATAAATGATAGATGATGTTAACATATTAGTATCGATGCACCATAGAGTGCAAAGAAAAGTGTAGCTGTTACATCTATTTTTGCTTACCACTATGAATTAGAGAGACCAACTCTTTAGTAACTTAAAGTTGGATCATTAAAGATCTGACTTATGCCTAATTCATTCTTCTCTCACCATCACATCATGTTACAGAATCCAATTATATCTTGCACACTACATTGGTTTTAATCAAATCTTGAATTTAATCGAGTAATTTCGATTTTAATAGATTTTATTCGATTACATTGGGTTTTAATTGATTTTAATCGATTATTTATGTAATTGCGCAATCTCAATTAATTCAATCTATATAGAAGTTCCAATTTTAGTATATATGTCAGGCTCTAGCTTGGTGACTACCTAAGGCTTTCGTGCCACGGAGAATCAAAAAATATAATGGGAAAACTTGGGTTTCACGTTCGAATCTCGGTAAAAGCGCCTATGTTCGAGGCCTATGATTAAAATCGATTATATAGTAAGCAAAGATTAAAATCAGAAAACGGATAAGGGTGGATTAAAATTGGAAACCAGGTAAGCATGGATTAAAATCGGAAAACAAGTAGGTAAAGACTAAAATCGAAAATTAGATAAGGGTAGATCAAAATTGCAAAATAGGTAAGCACAGATTGAAGTCGGAAGGCAGGTAAGGGCCGACTAAAATCGAAAAACACATAAATGTAGATTAAAATGCATTAGGAAATAATAATAGATTAAAATTGACTAAAAAGTACCATGTGAAGAAATGAGCATACCTTGATTTTAATCAATCTTTTTTAAATAACCAATTTTAACTAGTCTTTTAAAAATAATCAATTTTAATCAAATTTTTAAAAATAATAGATTTAAATCTATCTTCTGGAAATAGTCGATTTTAATCGATTATTAATCAGAAAAAAATCGATTAAAATCTGATTTTTTTCTACCTTTTTTCACATCGGTTATTCAGACGTTTTTCTCTCAATGGTATGATATCAGGTGTGTGTCTTCTCGTTCAGTTGTCCTACATTTTGTAAAAAAAAGAAAATCGTCATTCAACATCAATAAATATATTACGAAACATCGAGAGTATTTTTCGGAGAGCAAGGTTCATAACAGGGAAGGTTTGAGATAAATTCTAATGGCAAACAGCTGATCTAATGGTTTGCAATTATGTTTAGGGTGAGTGCAGGTGTGCTTGAAGGGAAGACTAATACACCCACACCCACACCCTCACGGATGTGGGTGTGTGAATGTGGTGTGAGTGTTGGTGTGGGTTTGGGTTTCGGGTGTCGATGTGGATACCAGTTTTCTTTCTTCTAATAGCCACATCCTACTCCACACCCACAACCTGAAAAAGTCTACTCTATATACTTCAACACTTCTCTCAGATCGTGTTTCACAAAATATCAATTTCGATAGCTTCGAGAGAACACACTCAAGAATGCAAAGATAAAAAAACTATTCTATTCAATATTGTTCAACTCTAAAATGAGGCGATGCCTCAAGATATCTTTTTTTTCAAAAGCTAATTATTTTCTGTAGTCGAATTACCTTCATAAAAAGTCGGCCATTCTGTCAACAGCAATAGACATCGATGTAGGTCTGAACTAAAGCAGTAACATAACTCGACTTTATTTTCATTTAGCTTTAAGAGCCTGCGTGCACAACGCATATGTCTGATATTGTGTGCATGAATATCTTGGGTAAGCGAACGGGAATCTTAACTGAAACTGACGCCTAGGTTAAGAATCGCATGATAATCGAATTTTGGTACCAGAATTAGTGATTATTTTTGAAGCTTATTGATTTTCAAAGATGCGTGTTTAGGCATTCCTTTACTCTAAAACTGAAAACCGGTAGATAATGTGTATGTTTTTCTTTTTAATTGCTCTTTGTATTCGCTGAATATATCATCCAAATGGATTGTTTTGAAATTAATAGAAAACAATACATTAGTCAAATGTAATGCATACATTCAAATGTAGATATCTTTGGCATTTATAGAAAGGCATACAAACGTATGTATCGTACTGCAAGAGGAAGGGAAATAGAAACAATTCTATAAAGAAAATTATTTTTTGTCTGTGAGAGACTTTGAGCAAAAATTAAGTTGTTGTTTTCTTCGACCGCATATACAAATATCATGACATAGTCCATCTTAATTCTATCAAGTCAATATCATTCTTTTTTGAATAGTTTCGATGATATATAGAAATGCTCATGTATCTGGGATGTTCAATTTGATCAATATTGTTTTACATGTAGCTGCTGTTTGATGAAAGGCATAGGTCATTCATTTCTTGTCAATCAAAACAGAATCGTATTCATGAATTCAAAATTTTATATTTTGCATTAGAAATGTAAAATCTTTCAATAAGAATTCATGTATTGACACATGTCTCATTTGTAAGAATCGAATATTGCTTGATTATATGACAAATAGGATTTAAAATCTTGAAATAAATACCAATTGAAACTGGCTTTATTTTACTAACAGCTAACATCTTGAGTAAAATTGATTGTCACCTTTGCAAATACAATAAGAAATTGATTTATAAACCATCTTATGAAATAAATTTATCAAATTGTTTTAATATTGATAAAGCTCCTCGTATAAAATAAGCAGCAATAGCTATTTCTTTATCGATTTCTATTTGATTGCCAGTAGCAAGTGCATCACCAATAGTTGGCAAACCAGCAGCAGCATATTTATCAACTTTAGCTGGTGCATAAATTATGTGTCTTTTATATATAAACGAAAATAAGATTAAAGAGTAGGTAAAAAAATATCGTTTCTTACTTATAATCAGTGTAATCTGCTCCTCGTCCTAATGGATTTAAAAAAGCTCGTTCCAATTGTAACAACTGATCATTATATGCCCGAATCTCATATGGACTAAAAGTAAAAAACAGTGTTTAAATTGTTACTTATGAGAAAATCGGTCAGGGGCGCTCTTCTGATTTCAAAGTTTTTTTTGCCCATCGATCGCACATACTGATCTAGTAAAGAGTCCAAGAGGATTTGGCTAGGTTATCAAATTTGAAAGATATAGGAATTCTAGTGAATCCTTTAGGACCACAAGCTTCTTCAAACATTGAATCTTTGAATTTTCACCTGAAAATTTCTGCATGTATAAACCTTAACTGAACTAGCTCCCAAAATGAAATTTCAGAATTATCGAATAAAGTCGTTCAGGAATAAAGAGCTTTCGAAAATAAGCCATAACTTATATACAATGTGTAGAACATGCATATTTTGGAAGCTATGTATTTCGAAAAGGCTTCCTTCAAAGTTTGTGAATTATTTTATAGAAGGTAGTTTTCTTTAGCACTCTCTAGGCACAACAAGTTTATAAGTAAAAATTTGAAGATCTAACTTTTCGGAATAACTGGCATCTTAAGAGAACACCCACGAGCCCATCAAGCACCGATCGAGCAATCGAAGCACTCGTCAAAATTTAGGTTTTTGATTTGATATTCTCATCTTATTCAGCATCATATAAAGCCTCGAAATC